CTTGTTCGGGACATAACTCTCTATTCGGGACTTGGTTTTCGACGCCGTTTCTTCTGTTGTTCATATTTTCTCATTTTGGTTCTTTTTTATTCATAGAGTTTTTCTGTTTGAGCACGTTTGCTCAAATTCCACTTTTGCGGACCTAGCGGGGCCCTTTTGAGGCACTTTTAGGGTTTTCCTATAAAGAGAATGTCTTAAAGTGAAAAGTCACTTTTTCCATTATCTTCCTCCCTCTTTGGCAAGAAGTCATGGGAGCTCCTTGGGCTGCCACCTTTTCTTCTTCTCCTCCACTTGATTTCCTTGGTAGAAAGTCTTCGACCTTAACATTTATCGTAGGCCTCGTCGTGCTCTACCTTTTCCCCTTATTAGAAACTGTTTTTGGCCAAATTTTGAATTCGGGTTTGAAGTCAAGTTATGATTTTGATGGGGCTTCCTTGGGATTCTTGTTCATCGTGTTGTCCCCGACAAAACCTAGAAGTTTCGTCGGATTCGGTGGGGATTTGAGATTTCATCTCAAAATAAGGTAGGGGATGTCTTAGGTTTATATTTTTGTTGTATTGATTGTTATATAAGCATATACAACTTGTAAGCATGCCTTTGTTCAAGTTTTAGAATTTAATTTAATTAATTTATATATTTAAGATTTAATTCATATGGTTGTGTATAACTTGGAATTAAATTATGGCATGTTAGTAAATTAGGCCTTGGTATGTTTATCAACATATATTAAATCGGGAGCATTTGAATAAGAATTGCAAATTTTATTTAATATTTATCTTTTGTGAAAGATTAATTCACATAGTTGAAACAAACATGAAATCAACTTGTATTGTGATATTAAAGTAAGCCTTGGTGAGTTCTTTAACATATGTTAAATTGGGGATATTTGGAGTTGTTTAAAAATCTAGAGAAAATGAATTAATTAGCTTAATTAATTTTATTTTAAGTGTTGTAATCACTCAAGTGGATATTGGATATGATATATGTGAAGACCATGTTATGACTTTTAACATATATTAATTTGAGCCTATTTATGATTGATTTGAAACCTAGAGACTTTTCATGTTAGGTTGATAATCTCTTGAAATGTAATATGATTAATTACTTGTGAGCATGCTCCTGACTTGTTGTAGAATTAGTACTTGTGGTCTCTAAAGTTGGTGATTTGATTTAGCATGATATGTGTTATCATTGTCTTCAATAGCTTGTTTAAATATATCTTATGTAGGTATATAGTTTGTTAGAATATTACAATTGTTTACCTTGGAAGCTAGTTACTAAATTAGAGCTTAGTTAGTACTTGTGGCTTAGGATGGTAATGTGGCTCAACTGTTGTAAAATATTTTTACTTTGTGTGTAAATTGCATATTGAGAACATGACATGTCATATGCTATTTAGACTTGAATTCTAGGACATGGTTTGTGTGGATTCAACCTTACTTGTGCATGGAATATGGTAACTTGCATTTGATTTTTTATAATTTTCAAGTTTATTGATTTTGGAAAGCTTGTGAGGACATAATTTATGTGATGGCTAGGGTTTGGCTCTAGTACGTGGACAAGTGTCCTCTAAGTCATAAGTGCGCACTAGGTGGTACCTTGTGGGTCATAATTACCCAAAAATACTTGTTTGGTCTAGCGACCGCATGTCCTAGTCTTTCCACTATTTGATTTCGCATTTAATTTCAAGTTGTTAATCATGGATTACTTTTAGCTTGAGGATTGATGCTTGCTTTGGATATTTGAAATCTATTTAGTATACTTGAACTTGTATACTTGCTCCGTGAGTTTAAATTTCATTTAGTATGCTTGTGCCGTGTATACTTGTTTTAGGTGTATCTCTTTTAGCTTAGTATACTTGTGTTCGTATACTTGATTTACGAGATTTCCATATAAAATGTACACGTGTAAATATGCTTAGATATTGCATGACTTATCTCAATATGGTTTAGTATACTTGGAAATGTATGCTTGTATGTCATATAATATGTTTTAACATTGTTTAGTATACTTGAGCATGTATATTTGTATGCCGTTGTTTATTTTAAATTGCATGAGTAGCTTAGGATGCTCCCTGAGTCTCACTCTGACATAGACGTTAGGTGGCATGAGCCCCTTTAACATGTTTCACCTTAAGGTGATATAATTGTAAAATACTAGGTCGATGCATGCTCATCTCCTACGAGTAGCTTTATACTCACCCACGTAGTGGGGACATTTTTCAGGTATAGGGACCTTGATTTGGGATGCACACTAAGCCATGGAAGTTTCGTAGGCTTGAAGTATCATTTTCATAAAAATGTTGGTATGAAATCCTATTTGTAGCTTTGTATGACAAAACTTGTAATTTTGTTATAAATATGTAATGTGTACATAAGTACACCTTTTGTAATGTATTTGACATGTATGACATGAGGCCAAGGGCCAAGCATGTTTATATTTGCACTTGTACTCATTTGGTGCCACATTTTGTTTAAGAAATGTATTTTTATTAACTTTGGAGGTTGGCATGTCAAATTTTGTAAATGAATTATAATAAGGCCGTGGGCCATTGTAACATGTTTAAAACACCATTTTACACTTGCGTGTATATTCACATCATCACACGGTAGCATATAATGTAAATTGATCATGCCATGGGGGATTTAAATGAGACTTAGAAACTCTTTTCAGCCTTGGTGCATAGCAGGCCTGATTTTCACATTTTCGACCTATTTTGGTCGACCGGCGGGTTATTTCGGTCGAGCAGTTCTTTGATCAATTTGATTTGAACAGCATTTTGTCAATTCCAGTAGTCATTTTCAATTCTGAGCCATAAACCGGTCGACTGGTTTGTCATTTCGGTCGAACGAAATGAAGGCTCATTCCCTTACTGTTCCTGGCTCACTTCGGCCAACCGAAGCTCCATTTCAGTCGACCGAAATGGAGCTGCCTTGTTGATTTTGTTGGGTTGTTGTTTCTTCAGGCTTGTACCAATTGGTTTACTTCCACTCAACTTCGTTAATCTTGTTTGGGCCATTTAATGGTATATGCGGTCTAGTTTGAACTAGATCTTGCTCCTTTAGTCGTCATTGGTGCCATAGGGTACCAAGTGACCCATTTCATTCTAGCTTTCGCTTCCGGTTACTTCCTTGAGTTCTGTGATTTCACGGAAGGTCACTCTGGTATCTTGGGGATGACTGATGTCTCTATAGACATTGTTTCTGTTTTGCTTCCGTATTTTTGGATCCGGTTCAGGTCATCACAAGACACACACTGGGTTGAAAAATCCAGGGTCATGGTGAGTCCGTCGTCATTGAGTCAACTCGGCGTGAGTGAACCCCTTTTGAATTTTGCTGCTGTGACGCCGCTAAATCGATGAAATTGGGAAGGATTGAACCCTTTCTGAATTTGAAGGTTTAACCTGAGAGTCGGCCATTGATGACCCAAATATTGGACAGATCTATTTGCGCGTCATGCTCTCAGTATGTTGGCGGTGGCGGCGGCGACGCAGTATAGGGTTTGAGACGTGGGTGGTCCAGTAAACAAAGTCAATTTAGAAGTCAAAGTTAAATATGTCTTTTTATTGTGATTACTTATCTTTGTTTAGTTTTTCATTACGTCTTTTAAGGCAAAACTGTTGATGAGTGCAAATAACCTTGTTTGTTTATACTATACATTTCTATGGAGGAAAGTTAGAAGAGTATAAAAATAATGCCAATACTTTTTCTTCTGAAAAAAAAAAATTAAATAATGCCAATATTCTGATTTATGTATTAATTCTGAGTTCCTACTGTAGATGTTTTTATTACTCAGTCTAAATAACAGGTGCTAATATTCTAGTTTATGTATTAATTCTAAGTTTGGTTCCTACTGTAGATGTTTTTATTACTCAGTGACATTAGATTTTTCTTCATGTATCTAATAATATGTTTAATTATTCTTTCAGTACAAATTAAAATCAACTATATAAACCTTCCGTTACGCATAATTAAAGAAGAAAACCAGTATCCGTCGATGATGGGCATCAGGGCAAAAATTTTAAAACGTCCAGAGTTTGTAAATGGAAGTGAGTGATTTTTAATCTTTTATATATATATATATTTGTTTTTAGAGATCTATTAGTTTTTTTTTTTTTTTCCTAATTCTAAATTATTTTATGTTCCAGTAAACATCCAATTTGGTCAGCGGAAAATAACAGCAGATTTCGCATTAGACCAAGAATGCCATTTCTCTAGGGTATATTAGTGTGTGTATTCATTCTGTTCCATGACTAATTTTGGCTTTTTTTTTTAATAGTTGTTCTAATACATAATATGTGTATTTTTCAGTTTGAGGACTTCTTTTGGCAGAAGTGGATAGCAGCTAGCGAAAATGAGATACAAAAATATGGTACCCTAAACATGTCTAAGGACTGGCAAGGCATCCTACTTACATTCCCTATTTGTATTCCACCGCCCATTGTCGCTTGCTTAGCTAATTGTAATGGCTTGGTGTGCCTCCACCTTAAAAGATGGGTGAAAGATGATGAAAGGCTACACTTTAGGCTTGGGGACGCTCTATTAAAGATAAAACTGTTTACCATTTAGAATGCCTACTGACAATTATGAAAATCTGTTCTACTGTGTGTACTTTGAGTTGCTCTATTGTAGTTAAAAATACCCTAGTTGGCACATGAGAGGGAGCTATCAGCTGTTTTGGTTCTGAAATGAAAATCACAAGTTTACTTGCTAATTCTTTGAGACACCTTGTGATGGCTGGCTCGTTATATACAGTAGAATTGGATGAAAAATTTTTATGGACACAACTTGCTTAAGGTGTGGCCGAATCTATTGGGCACTTAATTTTCTCCTGCCCCTTCTCCCCAGTGATATGGAAGAGCCCCCTCTTTTTTTTTCTTTTTTTTTTTTTTTTTTTTTTTTTTTTTTGTACCTAGGCAAGAAAACCGCCAAACAGCATCTACAGGCAAGGACCAAATACCACATACACAACAAAAACCACATAGAACAAAGAACAAAAGCTAGCAATAACAAAACTAACATCCATGTTAAGATCATAGTCTCGACAACAACCTATGGTGTCAGTATTGATAGGACTACTAGCACCAACAAGCTATCTGAAAAACAAAGGAGTGAAAGGATTTGGGGACTTTCCGAAAGATTCAGATCGCAGCCCAATGGGTCAGAAACAGAAGCATATCCATTACGCCAGGCAACGTCGGGCCAACTCTGATTATGAAGCAGCAAATTTGGGCTAAAACATGGAACCCCTCTATAAGCAAGCCCAGTTGGCAGCCCCATCCGCATAACTATAACATCTAGTTCTAGAAGCTTACACCTCTATGTTTGCGTAACTGCTACACCACGGAAGCCTGACCCAAAAGTTGACTTGGACGCCGTACCATGACACGACACATAACAGCACAAAGGTCGAGGAGGACATCGGAACGCCAGAATCCGACTTGAAGATAACTGAAAATTTGTCGGCGAGCCCCCTACATCGGAAAAGCCCACATCAACAGCAAACACATCCGGCCACTGACGATATTCAAAGCCTACAATCCCCGGATCAGAATGAAACAGATGTTGGTATGCGTCAAAAACATAGCTAACTGTTGAAGCCCTCAAACCAACAACCAGCTGCTCACAATCGCCCAACAACTGTTAATACAATTTGACAATATGCCTGGCTCGATGTTGCCCAGTTCCGTCACCACCCAACCACACACCATAGGCCATGGCAACTAATTGAAACACAGAACTAGCAGTGAAGCGGCCTGCCATGGGAACCCATATAGAAGAACCCCTTAAATAGAGAGAGCAAGAGGAAGGCAAGCACCGACAGCTATAAGCAAAGAAACACAGAACACGCATGAGAATAAAACAGAAGCCAAAAGATAGAAGAGTAATACCCGGATCAAAAGGAAAAAGCCACATAAAGAGGGTATCGAGTCCTCTATAGCGCAAAAACCCCAATTTAACCAGCCTCCTCTCACAGATGCGCCTGCGGCCAGACAACCGACAAGAACAGCAGACTTGAAAAGAGAGGTAAACCATCTCAGACAAACAACACCATCTTGGAGAGATCTCCAAACTCTGAAGAATAGAGGACCTCGACAGAGCGAGGAGCAAGTTGAAACTCGGTTCAACTTCTCTCATGTAACCTCCCATTCCCTCTGAAACTATGGAATCGGTAGATCGCTGTAACATAAGGGTGAGGAGGAAGAATCACTGTCGAACCACTCTGTAGGTGAAAATTGCCGGTGAAACCACATCCTCGGATTGGAAATTGAAAAACGGCGCTCGAAAACCCTAGCAGAGAGGGGGGAGGGAAGAGAGTATTTCTAATATGCTAGCTCATGGTTTTTTTAATCATTTTAATATGCCAGTTTCAACTTGGGTTGTGGATTGAGTGCTTTGAATCATTGCTAGTACAACTTTTGTCACTTCTCTCTCTCTCTACCTCTCTCTCTCTCTCGCCTTGAATAGAATTAATGGCTATTTAACACACAACATATTCTCTCTCATTCATCATCAATTGTAAACAATCCACCCTTCCAATTACCTACCCTAACTCCCTTGCAGTCTTTTAAACACGTCAATTATGTGTAATCTATCAGGCCTCTTTTACCCCCAAACAATTCAAAAGTCAAAATCTTTTATCTCCCAATTTTGGGCTCTGTCCATTCATTATCTACAGAGTGAGTGAATTGGTTCAGGGCAGTGGAGAATCCACCCAAGAATTCTATATCTTTACCTAGAGACATCACTTCTCCTACCTTCTTCCCAACCAATTCAGTGAGTTTCGATTGTCTAGTTCAAAGGACCCACTATTATAGGAAACAAATCACCTAAAAAAGTTGTTCTCTTTTCCTTGACAACTCACAATCCAATCCCAAAACCAGATACTATGGCTGGGTGTTTTGTTTGGAAGAAAAGAAAAGAAAAAACCCTACCTTTTGGTTCATCTCCATCTCCCTGGTTCCCCAACCTCAATAATAAATAAATATATATTAATTTCCACTTATATCATTTGTTTTCGTCTTAGTTTTTAGTTCCATTAGTTAGCTGGTTGGTTGCTGAGAAATAAATTAGGAAAGAATAGAATGTAAGGCATTTTCCAAACAATATTTTTGTACAATTTTTTTGGGTTGTTCATATGTAATAATGACATTATTTTGATAAATGAAAGCAACTTGAACTAATAGGGTTATTTAAAATGAGGGTTAAATACTCTAAATAATAATATTTGCTTAAACAATAAAATATACTTGTACTGTAAAAAATAATAAGGTAAATTGAAGGATAAATTACATTTGACTTCTTTTTATAGGTATATTTTCTATTGTGCGGTCGATCGCGAGAAAGACTCAAAAAAAAACTTATCTACCATCACTGACTGGAGATTGATACCTTAGGATCGCCTACCTATTCAGCAGGTTGCCTTATATAATTGGCCCATCCTTTTGAGGTTTAGCCTAATTAAAAATAACATCAAATTTATGCATTTTGTTCTAATAAACTCAACCTCTCACAATTTGGACCATAAATTCCAGATTTAAAATAATTCAAATGAAATTACTCTTATACCCTGAGTTTTAAAATATATACAAATCACATGTATTAAATTGACATTTTATGCGCAATATTCATAAAACAATGAGTCTATATGCACGATATCAATGAAAGAAGATTATTATTATTATTATGATTATCCTGACCATCACAAAGTGGTATTTATTTACCCTTACCAAGCACAAGGGGGTTATATTACGTGATATAGGAAATAATACAAGTTACACTTTTTTTAAAATAAATAAATAAAAAAGAATAATGTGCAAAAATAAAATAAAAAATCACAAAATTACAAAAGAAAGCACAAAGCACTCATATTGTCTATCTACATGATTTAATATCATGTTGCGTTTACTAAGTACTGTTAAACTAGTTATCAATAAAAAATGACATTGAAAACTGTTAAATACCATTTTATTGTATATACAGGCTGTAATATGTATAATACGTAATAGGTATAATAAATATATCTATATTCAGTGTAAAAAATTATAGCAATGTAGCATTGGAATTTACAAAAGTTGCAATTATTGCATTATAAGTTAAATTTTATTTAAGATGTAATATGTATATTATATATATTTATAGTTAATGCGATAAATTATATCAATATAATATTTATTTAATTATTTATGTCAAAAAAATTTGTAACATATCTTGCACAATTTTTATACAGAAAGAATTATTGTGAATGTTTTCATAGCCGTTTGAGTTGCACCTTGTTGTCTTAGGAGCCTGACTTCGAGCCTAGGCACCTCCTAATTTTTAATCTAACATATTTTCCCCTCAAAAAATACATAGAGGGATAAATATTTGCAATTTACCTTTATTTACCATATGTAGTAGGTTTATTTACACACACAAACAATAATAAGGCAGAAGTGCAAAATACCCCCTGAAACTATTTTTTTGAGCTAAGTTCCTTAACTTTTCAAAAGTAAGCAACTTTCCCCTTTAGTGAGACTTCCAGCTGCTTTCCGTCGTAGGGATACAATTACCAATATACCTTGAAAATTTTGATTTTTTTTTTTTAAATACAAATTACCATCAATGCCCTTGTTAGCTTAATCTTTTGTTCTTCCCTCAAATCACCTATCCCGGAGGACTGCTCCTACGGTCCTACTGTGATACCCCAATTTCATAGACAATGGTAGATCAAGTCCGCGCCCAAAACCAGGGGATATCAAAATATATTGATATTACACGGAATACAAAAAGATAAATAATAAATAAATAATACCGCTGAAAATGAAACTAAATTATAAATAATTAATTCTCTGAATAAATCCAATAATTCTCAAATGTAAAGAATCCTCCAGAATACAACTCGAGAAACCGTATCATAGACCCCTAATAAAAATTCTAGAACTGAAATAATAAAAAATATCTAAAACTGAATAATAAAGACATAATGAAGAATCCTACGTTGACGATACCAGAAAAGTGATGAAGAGTATTCTCTGATTTGCACGAGCAACCTATAATCTTGCTACTGACGAATAGGGGTGGCAATTCAGGTTGGCATGTCATATTCGTGTCGATACGATTACGACACGAACACGATTAGAGTCGACACAAACATGACACACATAACCTGTTTAATAAATTGGTCAAGACTAGACACAACACGAAAAGATACGTTTAAGACATTTTTTACACGAACACGACACGTTTAGTTAATTGGGTTAATCGTGTTTATAGGGTCGAATATGACACGACACGTTTAGTTAGCGGGTCAATCCGTGTCGACACGATTATGATACAAACACGATTAGCCCAAACCCAAACCATCTTATCTCATATCGTTTTAGCGTGTCGTGTCAAATATTGCCACCCCTATTGACGAGGACTTGAAAAATATAATAACAAAGGTGGGTCAAAATGTAACAATCCAAACCTGAGGGTTCGGATCATTATCCGTGTCTTTACCCGAACCTAAGGTCATTTAAGGACATTACGGACATTTTCTAATATTGAAATATAATTAATATATCATACTATGATTTGTAATGCACCATTGCGTCATTGAATGAGTAGGGATATAAGGGTAAATAAACTAGGCTGCGTCGGTCGGCCGAAACTAGAGGGTCCGTCGGCAGACTTTGTTGGTTAGCTATATACCACATTTGTTTTGGAGTCCAATACATATGATCTTAGAGTAAGCACATTGGTGGGAAAGGTGCTCATGGTCTTCGGCAGCATTGAGGCATATGATGCATACATTTGCTGCATTATGAAGTGCAGTGATTACTTGTGCTGTGTAAGTAATTTCTCTTGTATAGAAAGCCATAAGCAAAAAAAATGCTTAGGTATATAGTGTTGGAACCACACCAATCTATGCCGGTGGGAAGGGATTTGTGGAGGGAAGACATTTTCCATGCATTTGACTAGTATTCTATCATGTGTCATGCTCCTATGAAGACTTGAACCCACGATCTTCAAAATTTAGAATTTAGACCTCAAGCATTATGTAAATGTGTGGATTTTGTGGAATTTCCTTTTTTATTCCTTGTTTCCCATTTGTGTTCACGTCAATAGATCATGTTTTGTGATACAAATAGAACATGTGGAGCCTTTTATTAGTGTTAAGCTGTTGCTTTTTATGTTTACAAGATTCTTGTGCAGATAAAAATCCGTGAACTTATTTTAGTTGCGGTGATTTTTTTTTTTTTTTTTAAGTTGCCACATTGTATTTTACATTTAGTCAATCAGGAGGACTTGGCATCCAAAGAGCAATTGAAATAACTCTTATTTCATCTCGACTCTTGCCTGCACATCCGACAAGTTCCCTTCTTTGTTGTATCTAGGGATGCACAAAAAATCGTTCAATTTTATATATCAGTACGAACCAAACCAGTAGGTTCTTCTATGCATAGTTTGGATCTGGTTCCAAAAATAAGAAACTGTTAGTTTACAGTTATGATTCCGGTTCCAAGTCCGTTAGGATCGAACCGAAGTGTAAACTATATATATATATATATATATATATATATATATATATATATATATGTACACATAACATATATAAAAAAAATATGAAATATAAGTTTGAGCCTCTCGTTGTAATGAAAAATTGTATGAATTCAATGCAGGAAAGTACAACCCAATAACTTTCATTGAATCTTTTATATACTAATATTTTTACTCATATTTTTGGATTCAATGTTATATTTTAATATTAGTATTAAAGTACTACCACACTAGCTGTGGTGTGGCTTGGAGACCTTTAATAGTGTCTTATTACATTATATGGAGGTTGTGGAAGTTCCAGAACCGAGATTAAGAACAAAACAGGTCTTGGTTCCAATTGATCTGCTTTACCATGAAATGGCAAGAAGTAACAAATTTAATGTAGGAAGAATATTCCTCACGGTTGAACCAATTCGAAGTAACAAATTTAATGTAGGAAGAATATTTGTAATACCCATAGTTTTCAAAAGGATATAAAGGAAATTTTATTACATTTTATTTAATTATGTGATTATGTGCTTACGTGGCTATGTGTTTATGTGACTATGTGATTATATGCTTATTTGTCTTAATTGTTTAGGTGATTTATTTAATTTAATTAGGTGTTTGTGTACTTAATTGATTGGGTGTTTTGCTTGCTTAATTGATGTGTGGTTTAATTATAATTATTAATTGTTATTAATAGTTAATATTAATATAACTATAGTCAGATATATATTATATTTATAACTTATATAGTTATAATGTTAATAATTATATATGTATGTACATAATCACGTTAGTTTTAGCAGGACTTATATATGTGTATATATTATGTATTTGTTTTCCTTTTATTTTCTTGGTTATTGAGGGAAGGAATTAGAGAGGGAATAGGAGTAAGTTAAATTATAAGTAATATATATATATATATATATATATATATATAAGTTTGTGTCTGCTAAGGGTTTTTACAAACCCATCACGTAGAATAAAGAGGGGCGAGAAACAAAGAAACTTGGCCAAAGGGTTCAAGGCCAAACCCCAGGAGGAAGAAGGAGAGACTGTTCGTGGGGTTAGGACCGAGCAGTAGAAGGTTCGACGGCAACTAAGGTCGCCGGAATCAGAGGAAGAACATAGAGAAGGAGGTTTGGGATTTTCAACCCGAAATCCTAAGGCAAGTTCTTCTCTTACTTTCTCCCTTTGATTTGTGTTTCTATACATGCCTAGGAGATTCCAGGAAACTTAAAAACAATTAAATCTGAATAATTATGCATACTTAATCAAACTAAAACAGAGGGTTGTATGATTTTAGTTTCATTATCTTGTTTTGAATGATTTTTGGATTTTGATGCATAATTGATGTTTAAGTTTAATCTTTGCATGTTAAAACACCTAA